ATAACAGAGCACCTCCATGGAGACATAAACCAACTCGGGAAGTAATGAGAACCTTGCTCGAGCCGAGTGAAGCTGAGCAAGGCTCCTTGAGAGTAATTTGAAACATAGCAATACCTTCACGGACGACTACACGTACGGGAAAGTCGACATTGAAAATATGAAACCGGCGAGCATTTCCGAGTAGTTTTCAAGTTCCCTAGCGGCCTGTGTCTGCGGCGCCATTGAAGGCAACATGGATGACTATAGTTCGCTTTTGCAACCGCAAATCAGCGGTTCCCACGCGCCACAAGACTTTCCTGGAATCAATAACAGTGTGCCTCTGTTGCACGATTTGAATGGCTCGAGTCTGAAACCACTCCACTAGCTGTGTGTTTGCGTGCTGTGACGATTGCGTGGATGTTGGCGCCTGGTTGTGAAGATTATCACGTTGGGTCAATAAGGCGCAACATTCCGCTGAGGCAGCGGCGCTGACTAGCAACTTAGATTCGCCAGCTGCACTCGTTTGTTGTCGCCGCTATCTCGTGCCAGCAGTGTGAATGAGGAGACAGTTACTCGGGATACTTGCACTAACAGCTCCGTCTCCTTCGTAGTCTTCGTAATTGAAGAATGTCTGTGCGTCACGCACAGTGCGTGCCGCGGCGCCATGCATGCAAGCTGTGGTCGGAGGATCTGCCCGCTCCCGTTCTCCTGTTGCCCAGTTTGCTAGTTGTATTGTGTTGATTGTTCGCTATATGTAAATCGACTCCGTTCGGCCATCATCAGCTACCTTTTGTTGTTGTCTGACTGTGCTCTCCTGCCCGTTCGGAATAGACAGTATATGACGGCCGCAAGAGTCTCAGCGCATGCGTGCATGCGTCAAAGCGCCAAACGAGCGGTTGCTTCCAGAGTCTTTCATGGTATCTCCTTGAGGTCTATTGTTGGCACTCCTGCCAACCTCGTCGACCGCAGCTAGGTGTATCTGATACCGGTATCTGCCGTTGGGATCGTGTTGCCAAAGTCACTAGCATCGACTTCCCATGGTATCAATTGACCACGCAATTATGATCTCGAGTAAACCCGTCCACGAAGCTGTGTGTACGCGTATGTGAGTCAGAGACGTTGTACTTGAGAACCATGGTGAATGTGACATTGGGTATGATGTAATGTGAACAATGTACGTTCGAAGGTGAGTCTTGGATCCGTTCGCGTAGACTACACGGAGAGTGAGCGAGTGGAATGCGCAGGGATTCAGTTTTTGTTCTTCTCGAACTCCCATGTTTAAAGTTATCTGCGCCGTTCTTCTGCTAATCGGTGTTATGCTCAAGGGTCAAGGTTGCGATGCAAGACCAGCTCGCCCAGTAGATGAGACCATATGCTTTTCCTCAGTCTGCCCCACTCAGTGTAGCAAGGAAAGAGGGGTATGCCTTGGGGATGAGACAATCCATTGTGAATGCTTCCAATGATAATCCCTTCTACGATGATTCTACTCGTTGCCACCTTGCAGCCCACCGAATGTGGACTCTCATTGTCTCTGCAATACCACCAGCTAACGATGCTATGGTAACTACGAGGTCTCCCTCGGTCAGTTATGGGCAATCGACTTATCATTGTGACCTGGCAGTATTTCTGATAGCCATCTTGTACCTTGCGAGCTCCAGGCTCGCTTCTCCCATCACTCGGTCGATTGAACTTGAATCGATTACGAGCGATGTGGCAATGGCCTTCAACTCGATTTATTCGCTGCGACTACTTTTTCTCTTCCCTTTTCTCAACACATGGCGGATGACTAGTTTGCGGTAGTTCAAGTTGCTCTGGATCGTACAGTAGTGATGTACGACACCCCAGCTTGTCACTCTGCGTTGGGTCCTATCCATCAAGTTTAGTTGATTTTGTGTTCATGAATCGTTATGGGTGTGACCGGCGGAGACTGAGATTTTCCTGGGATATCTCAGTCACAACCTCGCAAATTCTAAACAGCCAACTTAACCGAATTTCCGAGGAGTTTTCAAGTTCGCTAGCGGCCTGTGTGTGCTGCGCCATTGATGACAACATGGATGACTACCGTCCGCTTTTGCAGCCGCAAATCAGCGGTTCCCACGCGCCACAAAACTTCACTGAAATCAACAACAGTGTGCCTCTGTTGCACGATTCGAATGGCTCGAGTCTGAAACCACTCCAGTAGCTATGCGTTTGCGTGCAGTGACGATTGCGTGGATGTTGGCGCCCGTTTGTGAAGATTTTAGGTCGTCCAACCGTGCCTTCTTCTCTGATATTCGACCTTTCATAGTAGGCTGCGACTGGAGTTGCAGAGAAAATAGCGGCCGGAGATGCATGAGTCCTATGGATTTGTGGGCGTAGCGAAAAATGTAGCACGCGAACATCTGAGAGGACTGTTATCACCACGAGCAACTTGTTGCTATGAAGCACCTCTGCGCTGCTCTATCTGTGGGAGCATCCCTATTCGGGGCGCTGCTCTTCGGCCTGTCTCTAGGCTTTTCTGGACCGGCGATTGATACTATGAAAGACAGTGTAACAACGCCCGATGGGGATCATGTTCCGATCGGTGCGGGATCCGACCTTTTCGTCTTTCGTACCAGTAACGAGGCTTCCCTCTTCGGTTCCCTGATCAATATCGGTGCAATCATCGGTTCGCTGACTGGCGGGCCTGTTAATCATAAGTTTGGTAGTAAATGGAGTCTCATAGGGGCTTCCCCTCTATTCCTCTTGGCCTTCTTATGGATTGGTCTGGCCCGTACAGCCTGGCAGCTGATCGTAGCTCGTGGCGTTGTGGGAATTGCCCTCGGTCTAAGCTCTTTCAGTGTCCCTACTTATATTGGTGAGATTTCTCCTACCAAGTACCGTGGCCTGTTCGGAGCTTGCAACCAGCTTGGCATTACTATTGGCATCCTGCTGGC